GGTAGGGGACAGTAGTCACTCTGGAGACCCTAGATGCTGGACTCTCACCTGGAAGCCCTTCCAATTCTGGCCTCCTTAGCCTTTGTACAGGCCTGGGTCCAGTAGATCCCTACCCATGGAGGCTGCAGGATGACATCTGACCCCCCATGTTTTCCCATGGCCTCCGGATGGGGTCAAATCCTAGCCTATCAGCAGCAGCAAGGTGGTCGTGAGCACAGGGCACCCCTCCTGATCTGCTCTCCTACCTCAGCCCTGGTCACCCATCTCCCCAGGTTGTCGGGCCCTCTGCTGTCTGCAGTGCCCTTAGTTCTGGGTCCAGAGCCAGGTCCATATAAGCCCCTGTCTGGGACACTGATTCCTCAATCCCTTGCTCCCTCTCCTCCCTCAGACAGAAGATCTGGTTCCGAGGCCACTTTTTCATCTCAAACCTGACCTGGGTCAGAGGCTGGCTGGGGGTGGGGGGAAGCCAGCTTTCTTCTGCATAACAAAAGGTGGGGCTGCTCCCGCCTGACAACAATTCAGTCCACTGTAAACAGTCTTCCAATCCACACTGGCTTTCTTCTTTTGGCCCCTGGCTAGGGTTGCCTGAGTTAGCAAACAAAAATATAAGACTTTAGCAACATTTGAATTTCAGATAAACAAAAAAATAATATTTGTAGTATAACTGTGTCCCAAACTGTGTCCTGTATTTTTCTGGTGCCACTGCCCCTGGTCGATCACTTGATTATTTTCTTTTCCCAGCAAAATTCTTCAACCAGCCCACTAATCCACATTCAGGACAGGGGGCCTGTGTTTTGGGAAAGCCTCAGGAGACTAGGGAATGGCCACCCTTCCCCAAACCTGATCACCTAGATTGAGCCCACCTGGCTCCCTTCAGGAGATCAGTCAGGACTGGGCTATCTATAAATAGCTTGAGAGTGAGGAAAGAACTTTATGTGAACATTGATTATTGACTGTGCCTAGGAGAGTTGACACCTCTCTGAGACTCAGTTTTCTCAGCTCAAAAATTGGGGAAAGGGTGGGCTGGATGTTCTTCTCAACTCTAAATAGTAGGAAAGAGCAAGAGGATGAGGCTCTTTGTCACACAAAACTCCACTGCTGCTCAATGCCCCAGGATCTTTTGTCTAGGAAGGTCCCCATAGAACAGTGGGAAATACCAAGCTTCCTCACTGAGGATCATCAGCTTGGGATCTCACTGGGTCCCAGGACCCTCCAAGTATGGACCTAAGATGTCCATCCCTGCAGGCTGGGTGGGTCCTTAATCAGAGAGCCCTGGTGTTGATTGAACAGTTCTAGTTTCTGTCAATTTTTTGGTTGCAGTGAGGAACAGGACTCTAGGTCCACATACAGACAAGTGGGGTGATGGCATCTTTTAAAGAATGAAATAGCCCCCTCCTCTACTCTAGGAAACAAGCCTTTTAATTTATTTATTTTTATTTTTATTTTTTGAGTTGGAGTCTCACTCTGTCGCCCAGCCCGGAGTGCAGTGGCCACTCCCGGCCACCGCAGCCTCGACCTGCTGGGCTCCCGCGATCCTTCTGCCTCAGCCTTCCAAGTAGCTGGAACTACAGGCGCGCACTACCATGCCTGGCTAAAGTTTTTTAATTTAACTGGTCAGGCACTCCACGCCCAGTTAGGGGCTCATGCCCATTGTATAGACAACAGTAGCCAGCTGTTCACAGTCCAGACAGCCCTGCCCTTTCTAGACAGCCCCCTCCTCAGGGCTCTTGGACCTGTCTGGCTGCTGAGCTCCCAGGAGGTCCAAGGGGTGTGATCTTCCTCTTTCCTTCCCTCCCTCCCTCCACCTCAGGCCCGCCCAGGGCCAGCTATAAAGCTGGCCCAGCCCTGGCTCTCAGCACACCAGCTGGGCCTGAGACCTCCCTGGACCCTCTTCAGGGGACACACTCACTCTGCCCCTTGTTCCTCCTGACCAGCTCCATGTGGCCCCTGAGGCTCTGCTGGGCACTGTGGGTGCTGCCCCTGATGGCCCCTGGGGCAACCCTGTCTGAAGAGCAGCTCCGGGATAGCCTGCTACAGCAGCTGCACCTGAGTGAGGTGCCTGTGCTGGACCAGGCCACAGCGGAGGAGCCGGCCATCCCTGCCCACGTGAGGGCCGAGTACGTGGCCCTGCTGCAGCAAAGCCATGGGGACCGCTCCCGTGGGAAGAGATTCAGCCAGAACTTCCGAGGTAAGGCCCTCTCTCCCTCTCTGCTGTGCCAGGTCCTGGGGCGGGGGAAGACTGGTCCTGCCTACTTGGTGATGTCAAAGGGCCCCTGGACTTTCAGGGCTCTGTGAGAGGCTGTGTGGGGTCCACAGTCCAAACGGCAGTGAGGAGGGGCCATGACAGGTGAGGATGGCTGGGCCTGGGGCCCTGGTCTCTGGCTGTGCACGGAGGCCCCCTCAGACGCAGAAGGGATAGGTCTGCTGGCAAAGCCAAGGATCGGAGAAGGGGGCGGTAAAGGAGAGAAAGCAGAGCCCCTGGAGGCAGATGCGGGGGCCTCAGTGCCATGGTGCAGCTGGACTTCCCAAGGTCTGTTTGTACACTCCACTCTGGTCTGAGCCTGAACTTGAGCAATGGCTTTAAAATCATCTCTCAGCCGGGCTCGGTGGCTCAGCCTGTCATCCTGCGCCTTTGGGAGGCTGAGGTGAGTGGATCGCCTGAGCCCACGGGTTCGAGACCCGCCTGGGCAGCGAGACCTCATCTCTACAATAAATCAAAAAATCAGCCAGGCGTGGTAGTGCATACCTGTAATTCCGGCTACTTGGAAGCTGAGGCGGAAGGATCGCCGGAGCCAAGCAGGTCGAGGCTGCGGTGGCCGGGAGCGCCACTGCACTCCGGCTGGGTGACCGAGTGAGACTCCAACACAAAAAAAAAAAAAAAAAAA